TCTTCGATGCATAAATTGACTCAGTCGAACCGCACTAAACCGATAAGATTAACGAATTGTCGGCCATAAATTTTCCCACAATCGAATAGAAAAAGAAATCAAGTGCATCATTCATTCATTCATTCAGTCATACTTGTAATTTTTTTAACCTAACGTAAATTTATAGAGACAGGAGTATTTTTATCTAACGAGAAGAAGAAGAGTGAAATTTATGAATGACTTAAAGGCAGGAAGAGCACCACTCCGCAGAAAAGGAATGTAAAAAATTATATATTATAATTACAATATACAAGTATGAATGCTTAGCGTGCAATTAATCATTGAAAGCGAAAGTGAATGCAAATAATGCATATTTACATAAATAAATAAATAGTAAACGTTAAGATAGCGTTGCGTCAATCAATTGCCAACCGGTGCTGATAGGGAAGCATGTCAATAGGATATTTCTTGGCACATATGTAACTGCACGCTAATTGTCATATTCAAGTTATTTATGACTTTCGTAAATAGTAAACCGTGTACGATTAATGTAGAACTTGTATGGTTAATGAAATAGTTCGGAAATTGTAGCAACCAATATATTTTATATTAACAACGAACTTGGAATGTCGGTTTTTGATTTATAATGTGTTAGCGTTGTGGAATAATTTTACTTAATGTCAGTAGGGATAATATACCTTCGTGTAACGAGTACGCTTGACGATTTTCAAACATGGTTTATTGACGTAATTTAATCAATGTAAAATCAAAGTAATTGATCCATTTTCTGTCTTTACTTCAGTTTACCAGTATATGAGCTTACCTTTGCGAATGTTCAGCTTTTAGACGATTGAGACAGGATATCTTTCAGGGTTCCCAATGCTTCAACTTAAGAGACATTGGGGGGTTGGGGTGGAAAAAATCAGATATTTTACCAAATCCACTGAATTGCTGGATAAGGCTTAATTAATTACCACTCCTGAGCACAATAGACCTAATGATGGCCTAAGTACGGCCGTTGCGGTCTGGCGCTCCGTCACCTCCTCCCTTTTCAATCAACCAACCAACATAGACGTCAGCTAAAATTACAGTCTTCTGCTACTGATAAAGTCCAACAGTACGAAGAAATATTTATAATATTTAAATATGTTCGGAACTTAGACAGTGTCTGCCATAAGGTGGCCCCTATTGTATTTCCTTCCAGCTAAAACACGACAGTCGCTGGACAAGGGAAATAAGGTTGTAAAAAATTTCAACAGTCGGCGACATTGAGTAAAATTACAGTCTAATTGCGCTTATTGGCGGGGAATAGACTTTTACAACTTTTAAGATCGGTATATAAGTATAATAAGCTAAGCTGATGAACAACTGATCAAAGCAACGTTACAAGGTGGACAGTTTAAAGACAAAATAGAATTCAGACCAAATTTGAGTAATTGAGAACTAATTTTATGGATGCAAAGCAAATCGGACCGGCTAGTATAATATTCTATATAAAATAATCGCAAGCATTTGTTGTCAATGCTTTTGAGATTGGAGTATATTGTGTTGAATTTATTTTTTCTTTTGTTTATTTATTTAAACTTAATGGATTAGAGAAGATTTTTTAGCATAATGTTTTTAACTTCCTTTGATTTTCAAAATTATAATTAATTAAATTTTGGTATTATATATGGTTTATGAACGTGTTAAGAGAACACTCACCAGGTGCAATTACTTACCAATGTAATCATTACAGTAATAACACTCATTTCTAAGAAAATTACTCAAGCAAGAATGCGACTAAACTCAAACAATATTCTTCTTATTATTGCAGTGGACTTAGCTCTATTTAACCGTTACTCACACTTCGAGCGCTGTCAAAGTAAACTAGTGAAATTCCAGACAAGTTTACAAAAAGCTGCAACAACAAGATAAACACGTGACCACAAGAATTCCACAATTCCAACAGCGCAATTAAAACAAGAAAAAAATTGTAAAAGGTCGACTCAGCGTAAAAAAAAGAGATTGTTATAGAAATAAATAAAAA